ACACCGTGCGTAGTGGAGGCATGTCTGTCGTAGAGTTGGATAATACTCCGACTTGACGGATACCTGCGGCCATCTTGAAGACAATCCCAATCCTAGGGCTCCTCTGGATACCATCATTTTACGATATGACATATTTGGAAAAGGACATTTCATTTCATTTGCAATTTCATTCTTGCAAAACATTTCATAGAAATGGCTTCAAAAATTCAAGTCGTTTGGATGCTGAAATTGCACGAAAAGTCGAACGACCTACAATCTAGTTCACTTGACTTCAGTATGAGCACAAGATATGTCCTTACACGGAAAAATGCATGTCAACACCGTCTGAATCAAATTGCGCGCGGACTTCCAAGCTGCCATGGACCAACGTATCTGGTTGCTGCTGCTCCGTCTACGAATCCGCAAGCGACGGCACATGGCAATGATGCAGTACATGATGTATCACTACATCGCGTATGTGCTCAAGACGCCCAAGAGAGACTCCTGCCTATCGGGCGAAATGTGGATCAACGAGCGTATGCGTGGCAATCACGACGCCTTCGTGGAGACCTTCCGTATGCCCCGCTTCGTGTTCTGCGCCCTGCTCCATACCGTCATCACAACGGGCGGCATATCCGACTCCAAGTACATCACAGCCAAAGAGCAGCTCTGCATGTTCCTCTACTTTGCCGGGCACCATGCTTCCAGCACGAACATACAAGAACGTTTCCAACACTCGGGGGAAACAGTGTCGCGCTACCTGCGTCGTGTCGTTGCTGCATTGCGAAACATGTCCCAGCGATACATCCGACTTCCAAGCCCAACTGCCGCAGTGCATCCGGTGATCGCGACCAACCCGAAGTTTTCCCCCTTCTTTGACAACTGCCGCATGGCGGTCGATGGGACCCATATCCCGGTGTGGGTGCCTGCCAACGAAGCCGCGCCGTTCCACGGCCGAAAAGGACTGACCATGAACGTGATGGCGGCCTGCGACTTTGACCTGCAGTTTACCTACGTGCTAGCCGGCTGGGAGGGCACAGCAAGTGACAGCAAGGTCTACGCCGACGCGATCACGAAAGGACTGGCCCCAGATGACAAGAAGTGGGACGTCATGGACGGCGGATTTGCGTTGAGCAACAAATGCTTGACCCCCTATCGAGGCACACGGTACCATCTCAAGGAGTTTGGCAGCGGCCGCCAGAAACCAAAGAACAAGGAAGAGCTCTTTAATCTACGACATGCACAGCTCCGTAATTGCGTTGAACGAATCTTCGGTGTGCTGAAGATGCGGTTTCCGGTGCTGTCAAGTGCTGTGCGCTACAACTACAGCTTTCAAGTCGACTTAGTCATTGCACTGTGTACTGTCCATAACTTCGCCCGACGCCATGACACTGAAGGCGACCGCTTCGTATTGGGCGCTGAGAACCATGATGAAGAGCAAGACCCCGATCCACGAAACCATGAAGAGCACAATGGGGACAACTCTAAAGCCAAGGCATGGCGTGACGGTATTGCAGCTGCGATGTGGACGCAATATCAAACAACATTGCGAAACAGACGTCGAAGGAGTTAAATGCATTTCAAAACTGATTACTTTGAGCTCTTTCAATTTGGCGCTGCAACCAGGCTTCACGGACGCGACCCTTCAGATGGACAAACGTACGCGATCTGTCGCTGCTCTCGAGGATCTCAACCGCCGTCACCATGTTCTCAAGCGAAAGCACGTGTTCGAACTCATCTTGAAGGATATCGAGGGCTGGTACCGCCTCGGTTTCGTTAGTCTTGGTTGTCGCGAGCACTTGAGAATATAGCTCTAACTCCTTCGGCGCAATCTCGTTCTGCGCCTTGAACTGCTCGGTCATTCCAGAGGCTGCCGATGCACGATGTCGACGCTTGGAGCCGCCACTGTCGTTTTGTGGCGCTGCTTGTCGTCGCTTTCTCTGCCCTGAGTTCGGCTCTTGTACAGTTGCGTCGGAATGGACAGAGCCGTCCAAATCGACATCGTTACCTTGGTCGTCATTGTCTTGACCGTCGTCGTCCGACGCACTTGATGTTTGGGGCGGAGCAAATGGAGTGACTGTAGTCGACGTACTTGCAAAGCGACCGGTTGCAAGGGTCCCTTCGAACAGTTGTTGGCAGAGGTCGTACTGAGGGAACGGTCGATCTTTCCAAATCGCAAACGAAGGTGGCTTCCCAGCTAGGAAGTGGTCCCACGTTGTTTCGTTGCAAAGCACGCGGCATGTTGTCGCTTCCCAACCCATACCGCTGGTGTTGACGATGCGGGAGATGACGCCGTACATTGACTTAATGGCGTCGTGGCGAGACTTCAACTGCGACATCTTGAACGGCAGGACACGGTCGGCGTTGATCTTCTGAAGGGCTGACACCCACGCTTCTTTCTTGTACCCACTTCTTGCTCGCTTGCCGAACATCACGGACTGGTGCAAGAGCTCTTCAAGCCACACGCAGTCGAGTTCATGTGTCCAAAGCACCATCGTGTTCCGCGGAAAGTTTCGAAGTGATGGACTTTTTCTGGCGTTCTGTCAAAAAAATGATCAAAATCCACTCAACTTTTTTTTGTCATAAAACAATGAATTCTTGGGAAAATAATGCCATAAATTTTGTCGATTTTTGGCATCCAAACGCTGCCAAAAAGTAGTTAGGGCATTTTTTCGTTTTATGACATTTTCCAAAAAATTATGGCATAATAGGTGGCATCCAGAACAGGCCTTAAACAATAATTTTGCATTATTTCCATGATCGCAGCATTGTGTCATAGCTGGTGTGTCATATCTGGTCAGCAAAGACGCCAACATAGACGTCAAA